AAAAAAAAAAAAAACTATATAGTCTGCTTAATAAAGCTATCTGTTTAGCAATAATTGTTGTGTAACCAGTAAATAAAACAAGCTTTTTTGGATAAAGAATATGAAAAAATACTGTAACTTATTCTTTTGTTTTAATCTATTTAAGTTAAGAAATAATGAAACAAAATGAGACAAAACACAGACAAACAAAACAAATGCACATATTATCTACTAAAAATTTTGATAGTAATTTTTAACAAAATTAACTTTGGCACAACACGAAATACTGTGAGCAGAAGCACTATTATACTTCAGTTTTGGTTAAACGATTGAAAAACTATTATTCAACAACAAAAGACAAGAATCAAAAGAAAAAAATATATACAAATCTTGGAATGATCATATGAATTAATACCCGAATACATTGGCTCAATGCATACAACAATAACAGTAAAGTATTAATAAAGCAAGAAAAAAAAAATTTGCGCTCGAAAAGCAGTAATACCCCGAAAACGTTTATAGCCAATTAAAAGCTAAAGCTGAACAAAATTGCTTCAGAAGGAATTTTGTCTTTGTGAGCATAAACTGGCAGCTGATTCACGTTTAAAATCAAGAGGTAAAAAAAATGTTTCAATTGGTTCTCGAACACCTTTTACACGCATTTTACCTCGACTCTGTAACGGAAATCCACCGCGTAGAAGTAGTCTACCCATTTCTCCAGTCATCTGAAAGACAAAAAAAAGTTGTAATCAAAATCAGCTTTAAATTTTACAACTTATTATTAATATATATAAACCATTTGATAAGCGTTTCTAAAAAAAACTACTGCTGGAAATATTGCTTTTTTTGCCGCTTAATTATGCAAAAAACTCTCAAATGTCATTAGTGGTTAATTCAATGGGTATTCGATCAGTTAGTTAAATGCAGATTATCGAATCAGATATGTCATTTTATAAAGTCATTGACACATTAAAATAGTTATTTTTACATGAATTTTATTTGGTTCTCCATAGGTGTCCATTCGACTTGCCAAATTGACGGTATTTCCCCAGACATCATATTGCGGTTTTTGTGCACCAATAACACCGGCAACCAAAGGACCACAACTCATACCTTTAAAAATAAAATCAAAAAATAATAATCTTATTAGATTTTTAGCCGGCAAAGAAGCCAAATATAGATGAATTAACGAAAAAAACTCAGTGGTTTTAATTTGAATTACATTTTTTTATCTTAAAAAAAAATCTGAACTGAGAAAAAATTTTCTATTATAAAATTATGTTGCAACAAAAAAAACTCTCTTTTATTTGGCATAAACGACTTTTAAAAATTAAAGTAAAGAAATGCAGTCTTAAATACTATAAAAAATCTATTTTTCCACACCTAAAAAACACAGATATTCTCAATAACACCTTTTTAGAATTCCTCGTTTTAGTTTAAAATGCTTGACGATTATAGTTGTCTGTTATTACAGCTTTCTTTTTCAAATTATCAAATTAGGTTACCCTCATTAACTGAATTTTTCTTTAACTAAAAAGCATCGAAAAAATCTGTTGCATTTTGTCATCTCACTCAAAAATGTTCATTTTCACTAAAAGCCATCATAAACTATTCATGCTTAAAAGATATAAAGAATCTACATCAAGTATTGGTGCCAAAAACAATTTGAAAAACACTCACTGTATAACGGTTAGGGGTTTTCTGATTCTAAGAAGTTTATGAATCACACTGTCGCCCAGTGAGCTTTTTTGAAATTATATCCTAAAATTTACCCATGCCCTAGATGCACTTATTGATAAACCTTATCCTGTTTTACAAATCCTAACCTATTTATCTACTGGTCTTTAAAATTTAAGAAAATCTAAGTTTTTATTTTAGAAACTATCTGTCATGCAGCTTATCAACAATTTTTCAAACATTTATCAGTTTAAACAGCGAAAAATTTTCTAAAGTACCTATTAAAAAGTGCATAATATAATTGCTCAACAATCCTGATGCTAATGTTAGAAACTTATAACAGACCAAATCGAAGTTCAAAATTTTGGAACGAATCTCGATTTAGTTGATCAAGGATAGCGCACATAGCTGTTGCAAACTCAACCATAACACACGAATTTCTAAATGCCTAAAAGTGATAAATAATAATTCGCTTTGAAAATAGCATTCTAGCAACAAGGTTAAAAAATAATTTTTGAAATTAAGAATTAGAAAATTATTCAGTCTTTTAATGCTTTAAAATTATTATTGCTGAAAAATCTTTGTTATATGTCATACTTTATCGTGTAGTCTTTTTTCTGCTGGCGCAGTTTCATCAATAAACTCCAAATGATCCTGCAAACAGCTGTCATCATAAGACAAATAAAACAAAAACCCACAGTACTGAAGTCTCTCCTCCAATCACTGAATTATTTAAAAAAAAAAAGAAAAACAAATTTATATTTTTCCTCTCCTCATTTTTCGCCCTCTTTTATCTTGCTTTCCCAAAAAAAAGGCAAAAACTAACCTGATCATCGACATTATCCTGTTCATTTAAACCGGCAACTGCCATGTATGTACTAGCTATAGTTTTTATTTTTTCTATACCGCTAAATTTCGGTTTTGATAACAGCTAAAAATTGGCCATATTTTTACAATTAAAAATGAATGAATCAATGCCACTCAAACAGAAAAAGTTTTAAAGAAATTATTATTACAACGAAGAAAAACAATGTATCACAAACCTTGTCAAATTCGCAAATAATTTCATTCAGTAATCTAAGACATTCCAGTTTTCTGGTTCTATCCCACTGTGACCAAAATTCTTGAAAATTTGGTATACTCGCAAACATTACACATACGTTGTCGTGCGAACGAGCATATAGTTCCTTGAATGGTAAACTTCCTCAACATACTTAAGCAAAAAGAAATTTATTTGAAGTTTTCAGGTAGAAAATCTGTCAGCTCTTTCTTTGCTTGCTTAAAAAGTACAGATAACGAACATCGACACAACGATCCGGATCTAAGAATTTATCAGCAACTCCTGATGGTAGAATATTTTCAATCAATAGCTTATTGATGTCTTGCATTGTTTCCACATCACGTTCTTCGTTTCTGAATGAAACATTACAGGCCGCTTCTGCTTTTCGTTCATAGTCCGTCTACAACAAAGCAGCTTAGGGCAGTGTATAATACACGCAAAAAAAATCTGGCTATTTGTCTACTTATTTCTTATTTATAGGGTCTTCCAAACAAAAAAAATTTGAGACATAATATTCTTAATTACAGCTGAAATAAAACTCTAATAAGAAAAAGAAGAAAAAGCAAAAAATTTGGGTGAATTACTTCTAGACTTAATAAAATAACGCTAGTTGTCTTGGTGGCAAAAAGTACTACTCTTCAGTAATTACGAAACGACATTTTTTGCACTTTTAAACACAAATTGTTTGATGATGAATGAAAAACATGTATTAAAAGTTAAGAAATTTATATTAGATAAACCTTTTTTTTTCATTGTTTTCTTATAATCGAACAATTAAAAACTTACTATCCAATCAATAAACAGAAGTAACAGAAATGCAAATATCATATCCACACAAATCAGTGTCAAATTATAGCTGAAAAATGGCAATACCAGTAATTTTTAAGAAACGAAGATATCGTAAATAAATGACATTTTTGGTTTAAACAATCGCTTAGAAAACAGCAAATTACTTTCAAAAACTGAAACTGAATGAAAAAAATTAGTATTATACTGTAAAAAATTTGAATGCTATAAAATTCTGTACTAATTAAAGCAGAACAATGAATATGTCATACCTTTTCCACTTTAAAGTATTCTGTGATGACGGAAATAAACACAGAAAAAGGATGAAAATAACGAAATACGACGACAGCAGAACACATCGAAGAGCATATGGGAAACGATAAAGAAGAAAAATTGATGAAAAATTTACCACACAAGCTAAAAAAATTCTTTTTTTTCTATTCTATACAAATGCAACTGCTTAAAAAGACAGCAAAATTATTCAAAAAATTAGATATATATTCTTTTATTTTTACCAAAATAATGAAAAGTGCAAAGAGATACGCAATGTTTACCGGAAAGCCATATCAACGACGGAATTCCTTCACTTCCCGGTGGAGCAAATGTAATATATATAAACTGAAATTAGAAAGCAAAAAACTTTCTTTTTTTGGTCAAAAAATATAATTACATTTGAGACGGTAATATAACGTTGGTGGAAATGCTGATTAAATACTGATTTAGGCTATCAGTAAAACAGTTCTTTTAGCGAGGAATCAGGTTCTGCATGAATTATGACTAGTCTGTCAATTAAGCTAACTTTTAATGATGAAAATGCTTACGTGTGGACCTAATGTAGCAAAAACCGTAATTGCTGTTGATAGACAAATTAGTATACTTCTTAGCACCGGAAATATCCAGTCGATAACACAAATAGCACCAAGTAAGAAGGTACACATCAGCAGCTGTAAAACCTGTATCCATTGTACGCTTTCACTGTAATTCGATCTGATTAATCAAATTTGGTAGCAACAATACTGGACACCAATTTGTATATTCTATTAGAATTTATTATAATGTCTAGACACAACTTATTAAATTACAGGCACCTTTATTTAAGACTATTTTTTTTAGCAAAAAATTAAACTGAATTAAAAGTCTAAACAAAATCATATTTTTGAACAATAAACACTTAAAATTAAATGCTTATCGACGACTTAATCAGAGTTAAAAAAGTAATAGCGAAACGATATCCAAAA